TAATAAATACAACCAAGCTTGGGCTCATTATAGACATAATTGATAATACAGGTGGATTCTCTCCAAACCAGCATCATTGGGCCAAAAGTCATTGCAGTTTTCAGAATGTTATGGTTTTTGGGTCATAAGTGCAGAATCCAATCAGAGACTTAGTTCCCTTATTAGCCTCTGCAGTAGCCAACATTTTGTGTTGGCATTAGCACAAGTGAAACAGATGAACCACTGATGCATAAATTTTTAATAAGAATAAATAATTATGCATAAAGAATAAACACTAATGTAGAAGTATTGTTTTATTTACTTACCATCAGATCTTTCTTATTTCTTTACTTACATTTCATGGATTTCAGTATACCCTGATCCATTGACTGGATTAATGATGTACAGTTAGGTGGTAGATATATCCCACACACATTATTCTTTACCTGTAGTTCAGCATCTGGATTGGCTGAACAGTTATCCGGCAAAAGCATAATTTTGCAGTCATCATTTAACCCAAATGACCTACAATTGGCACATGCTTCTGGTACATAATGATTTACAAACCATTCCAGTGTGATATGAGTCATGGTCCAAGCCCTTTTATTAGCACGATAATTTACTGGCAACACTCTCACCCCCTTAAATGCCCAGAGATTTTTGCTTTTGCCAATAACTAGTGGTTTAATCTTATGAGTGCCAGCTGCATTTGCAGCAGCAAGCACAGTAATTCTGTCCTTTGCATACTTCACACCTGTAGGTGCACGTTCATCAGCTGTGCATAGGGTTTTTCTTGGCACATACCACCAATATAGAGAAGTCTCATCTGCATTATAAACTTGATCACTTGTGAGATTCTCAACACTTATCAACTTTGCAAAATCGTCTACGTAATGTTGAGCTACCTCATGATTTGCTGTTGGACAGTCCCCACACACTTTGATGAATCGTATGCCACGTTGGATCTTAAATTTCGTCAGCCAGCCCAGATTCATTCCCTCATGAAATATTATGGCATGCTTTATCACCATAATTCCAGAGAGAGGGACACTTTCTCACTACACTGCTGCCTAAGCTATTCCATGAGAACATTATCTAAATCATTACACCTAGGCCGATGCAGTTTTCCTAAAGTTCATTCCCTTAGGACTGTCACTACTTGCATAATATGCCAAGAGCTTCTCTTTTTGTTTTCTTAGGTCATAACTAGTAGAGGATCCCACCTTGTAATCCTTGCACAGCTTCTGCAAAGACGTACATCCCTCCAACTTCTACAATAGTTCCACCTTCTTTGCAATGTTTAATAAGGGATGTTTCCTCTTCATACTCTTCTTGGAACCCATGGAACTCTCATCTGGCCATTTTGACATGATTACTAGGGCTGCAAATACCAAAATATAGCAAAAAAAGACAGGGATTGAGTATAAGATAATGAAACTTGGGTACATGACCAAAACAAAGTGCCAAAAACGACAACTAGTCTGGCACACCACCAGACAAATTGGCACGTAATTAAAAATTTAATTTTATAGGAAATTTTACCAAAAACTGCTTGTTTTTGGAGAATCATTGTTTTTAGGTCACCAGTTTTGAGAGAATCAATCTGTATCACTAGAGATTTCTTCTTTATTTTACATAGAATTGTTTTTGTTTGTCTCAGAAGACATCGTCAATTTAAAGTTTTTAATGGACAGATTGCTGCTAGTGTTTTCATTTAAAAAGTGCTATGTCTTTGGCTAATTAAGTCTATTGTTAGACTGTGGTGTTATAAACTGTTGAAAATACTTAAGTTATGATATTGTTGACACAGGTGTATTACAAACTTTGTTTATTTTACCTATTATATCGTGTAATTTGTAAGTACCCAGTTTTTATTTGTTCATTTCACTGTTTATTAAATAGTAGTAAAAAATCAGTCTTTGTAATGTAACATATTGGTAAAAAAGTGTTTTTGAGCAAAACATCTTGCTGTAAAACATTTAAATGAACATAGAGTATGAACTATGTTTATAAAGATGTTAGTGAGAAAACTTTAAAGTTTGACTCAATTACATTGTGTTTTTGTATTATTTTACTACAAGTTACAACTTTTACAGTGAGGAAGAAATTTTTAAAACAGATAGGACATTTTGATCACTGGTGCGATCATTCTCAAGTACACAAGTTTTAATAGTAAAGAAGATTTCAGTATATATAACTTTTACGGGATAATTTTTTTTTCTTGTATGATAGATGTCAACCAGATATATCCTACAATAATAGGTGTTCCCTTTGACCCTACTCTTTTATACCAATGGTACTACTGCACAAAATTATTTTTTATTTAATTAAATAATGCTCAAAAGAACACGGAATAAAGCAGAATATGTCCCATAACTATCACAATTTTTTCTGGCTTTCTAACTGTGCCACAAATGTTGTTAGAAATTAAGCAAAGCTGGTCAGTATGTTTCCTGTGGGAACAAAAGTGAAACTGAAACCGATACTACACATTGTCTATTGAGAAAAACAGAAAATAGAATAATATGCCATTTCAAAGGCAAAACTCCTGTTTTTCTATTGGTTATACATAATATAGGATCAAAAGTCAGAGAAAATTATTGGCAAGTTTTGAAAGGAAGGATTGATACCTTGTAACTAATTAAGATTTAAGGCTATAAATATTATGCTTTGCTTGAGTGATGACAATATTATAATGCCTCTTCAAAATAGTTAAAAAAAAGACCTAGGCCCGCCTTTCCCAGAAACTTTAATAAATATGGTTTTCAGACTGGTTTTGCGGTAAAGAGTTGTGACAAGCATGTGCTTGTTGTGTATCAAGCTATCATTGGGACTTTTACTTTGCACCTCAGTACTTGTTGAGAGGTTGTTCTTCAGATTTCTAGGTAAAGAGGCTGCGGATATCTTTAAATGATACATTTTGCTCATATTAATTACTACATGAAGATGATGTTCTGCATACGTATCAAGTCTCCCTTTTGAGAAAATTTTGCAAAATCCCATGTAAATCACAGGATTCCCAGGAAGATGAATCTATCAAGGAGACAAGTGGACCAAGCAAGAAGAACCGAAGGACTGAAGATGAAATAGTCGTACCTGAAGACCCAGCAGAGGATATACTATTGAACCAAAGAGGCAGTGTGGATACTTCTGATCAAGAACAAGAAGATGTATTGGGCAAACCCACTAGCATTGGATAATTACACAAGTTGAGCAGCAGCAATGAAAAATCAATTATGCATAGGCTGAATCTTGGAGTAAGTGATTTGGCTGACATATCCTGAATGCTTGACAATGGACCAATTCGACCTGGTCACAACAAGCCCTTTTGCTTTTCAAAACTTCATGGATGAAAATTCATACTTGAATGGTGTAAAGTATATCCTTGGCTTGAATATTCTACATCTACTGACAAAGTGTATGGTTTTATCTGTTGTAATTTTACTACAGGTACTAAATATCAAGGTGAGCAAGCTTTCGTGTCTTAAGGGTTCAGTACATGGAAAAAATGCATGAGTGAAACTCCAAAAAACAATAAACTTCTGAAACACAAGCAGTCAGATGCACATTTGAACAATGCGTGCAAGCATAATGCTTATTTATAATCAAAGCTTTATGAGAAAATAGTTACGGTTCATGTTAATAAAGCTCACTGGCTGATTGTGGAGAAAATATGGAATGCATCAAAATACTTGCTGGTATATTGAGATTTACACCTGTCCAAAACATAGTTCAGAGAGGTCATCATGAAGGAGAGACAGCTGGAAATAAATGAAACTTTTTGGAAATATTAAACTTCTTATAAATTTACATCCAGATCCTAAATGAACAAATATGTGAAGGACCTAAAATGCCAAATATATGCACCACAGTGTACAAGATACCATTTTGGACATCATCAGTGATATAATTTTGGATGAAATAAAAGAGGCTCAGTACTCTTCAATCTTAGTCGATGAAACTAAAGACCTATCCAAAAAAGAACAGATAAGCTTGGTACTTTAATGATTCAGAAGTTCATGAAGAAATTCTTGGTTTTGAAGTTGCTGATGATCTCGTTGCAGATTTGTTGACCAAATATATTTTGGAGGAGTTAAAGGACAACAGACTCGATGTCACAAACCTGATTGGTCAAGGATATGATGGCACCACTGTCATGAGAGGCAAGAGCCCTGGAGTTTGACAGAAAATAAGTTGAATCGTACCTCAAGCCATCTACATTCACTGTTTTGTTCATCATTTTAACTTGGTCATCGTAGAAAATGTGAAATCAGTTTCCCATGTGGCTAATGTTTTGTAAATGCTTCAGACTTACTACGGGTTTTTAAGTGATTTTAATATTCATGCACAATGGATTGCTTTCCAAAGAAGAAAAGACATGCATCCATATGGAAAGCCTGTAGAATTTAAAACATTGTCAGAAACATGATAAGCTTGCCAGGTGCATTCTGTAAGTGCAATTGCAGCAAGGTTTGACTGTTTTATTAAATTTCTGTGGCAAGTTGACATAAGTGACAGCAATTGAGACTGTGCATTAAATGCCCAATTCATTTTGGTGCAACTTGACCAAACATTCATATACTGTATGCTGTTTCTGAATGACATCTTACGTAAAGGAAAAGGACTTTCAGATATGCTGCAAAGTTCCAAGTTACATTACTTGAAAGCAGCAGATATGACAAGAAAGTTGCACATTATTTTCAACAGTCTTGTGACATCACTGCCAGAAATGACCTGAAATGCTACTGTCAGTGTCAGTTATGAAGCTCCATGCCCTCACACATGGATGACTGTAGTTCTTAACCATATAAGTTTCATCCAACTATTGGTAGTTTTCTTGAAGAACTAAACAAACGATTCAGTGGGGAAAATCTCCAAATGTTCCACTCGCTGTCGGCAAGTGACTCCAAATCTGAAAGATTTCTAGATTTTGAGACTTTTAAACCTCTTACAACCCATTATAGGCTGAATTTTGAAGACATACAAATGAAAATGAGGCAAGCTAAGAGAATGAATGAGTGTTCAGATGCGACATTTGGAGTTTGCAGAACTTCTCAAACCACTATTTGTGGTTTTTACTGAACTTTACAAAGATAGCAATAACTCTCCCAGTTGACACAGCTGCCTGTGAAAGAAGCTTTAGAAGCTAAAACTGATAAAAAATCACCTTGGAACAAATATGGCAGTCTGCCATTGGCAGATAAGAGACTGAAAAGTCTAACAATAACTAGAGTGCACAGAGAACATGATCTTTCCATTGATCTTAATGATGTTGTTGACAGGTTGTTTACTAAGTTTCCAAATACAAGGTTAACATTGGTTTAAAGTTGAAGAGGAGAATCACTTCAGTTGGTGTCTTGGTAAGCTCATGCTTTTGATCATTATTCATCAGTCCACTTTTAAAGGGACTTGGGGGGGGGGATAATGAGTTTCTTTAAAATCACACATGAGTATTAGGTGTCTTATTTTACTCCCAACTTGCTCCCAAAGTTTTTATTTTAGTATTGTGACATTCTATTTAGAAAAATTGAAGTTGTTTTTGTTCATATGTTCATGGACTTGCGAAGGGGAGCTTTTAGTGTTCTTTTAATCTGATGTTCAAGTTATGTCCTGTTTCATCCATCTAAAAGGCTGGGCAGTTGTTACATTTTATTTTGTAAACATTTCCTCGTGGGGTTGGTTCTTTATATAATTTTTTAGCGTGTTTGATTTTCATTCCAGGAGTGAAAATGAATCTAGTTGTTATGTTAAGGTAATATTTGTGTGCTAGTCTTTTCCAAATTTCTCATGGAAGTGTGCCAATATTTTCTATATATGTGATAGTGCAAGTGATTAAGTTTCCTTTGTTTTGTGGAGTGTTTTTGGAGCTTGTTACTGTAATAGTTGTAACTTGTAATAAAATAATACATAT